AACTTGACCGCTGCGTCTGGGTCATCCCAAATCGTGCCACAACGCCCTTCCTGGGACTTCAACCTTACGATTTCTTGAAACAGCTGCAAACTTTTACGACGCATGTGCGCGGCGCTAAGGCGAGAGCCACATCTTGAACACCGTTCTTTATCTTTGAAGCTGTTGCAAAGTTCAAACTTCAGGATCATGAAGGGCGAGGCAGTCTTAGGCGAAACGCCTGGCCTGGCCTACCAACACATCTCGGAGTGCGACGGGGAGGAGTGCATTGTATGGAGAAAGGGGGTTGATGGTAATGGTGGTGATGGTGGTTGGATGGTGATGCGGATGAGCATTCGGGGAACGAGGAGGAGGGGGGGCTGAAGCTCTTTTGCCTGATCAGGTCGCCATCGTATACGGTGGGCGCGTTGGTCAAGGAACGTGTCCTGGAGGCGTCAGACCCTGAAGGGTTACTTATCTGAGAGGGCGGTCTTGATATACATGGCCAATCCACGATTGGCTTTCCACTGGCTTCCAGACCCTGGATTCCTTATCGAAGGGTTCCTGATCCAATACCCCCACCGTACTGCAGCCCGCACGAGCAGCGGCGTCCGCAAGCGACTCCGGCGATCGTGCTCGTTGGCTGGGGTGCGGTGGCGTTGGGGGAGGCCTGCGGCGACGGCAGTCCGGTCGGCCGCCTCGCTTCTTGCGTAACATCCAAGGGAGGAAAACGCGCCTGGGGCGCGGCCTCCGCCCAGGAGGAGGAGGAGGAGGAGGAGGAGGAGGGTCTTCGCCGTCGCCACGCGCCTGGGGCGTGGCCTCCGGAGGAAAAGCCGCAGACCCCGAGAATTGGCGTTCATTAAGCGGCCCTGGGCGTTTACAAAGCAGCTCTGCCCTATGCGATTCCTTCTTGGGGTGCGTTCCCGAGACGGCTTCGCGTGCCGTGGCGATTCTCTCGAGGGTGGATTGTTTCAGATCTCTGAAAATATGAGGGGCGAGGCCAGCTTCAGTGTTCCAGTCCTTCAGCGCAACTCCTGTGAAGATTCTGGTGGTGATCGTTTTTGGTTCATTCTTTTGCCGATCGGCGCGGGCCCTTGCACCCCCGCCTCCCCCCCTACAGAGTAGAACATGACTGTTTTTGGCGCCTGTTTCGAGCAGGTGGAGTCTTCTCCGTAGGACACACTGTTGCAAACAGTCGCACTACGCAGAGGTCCGGAGCCAGACCCTTCCTCTTTCCCCCCTTTCCGCCCAATGTCGAAACGCCGAATAAGAAAATGCTCACGTGGGCATTGTAGGCAGGGGTCTCGAGCCCCCCAAGCCTGCAACGACTTGCAGCACAAATGCAACTTTCGTCATCGCCGTCGTCGGCGTCCTCGCCGACGATCGAGGATCGAGGTGCTCGGGCGTTTCCGGGGCGGTTTGGGCTGCTCTAGCGGGCTCTAGGGGGTGGCGTAGCGTGTCAGGCCACAGGCGCCTGAGGACGCTGGAGGACCTCCAGCGCCCGCACACAGCCAGGGCCTCATGGGAACCTCGGCTGGACCTGCCCTTTAGGAGGGGCGGGGGGGCGCGGACAGGGGAACGGGAAACAGAGATCGCCTGTGCTCGCAGGTGCGCGCCACCACATGGCGAGTCATGATTCTCATGTATGCATTCAGCGCGCATCTGTGTCAGTAAGGGATGTTTTCAGGTTGTGGTCCAGGGTTTGCGCCACCTGCCAGCGTCAGCCCGCTTTGACCCAGGTGAGGCGACCTCACATTCTTATGGGGCTTGGGCGCGAGGGTCACCTGACAGCGAGCGCGATAGCCTTATCCGCTCACCTGTGCGGCGCGTTGCTCGGCGACTGCCCATCCATCAAGCACTCTGCAGCCCTCGTGCTCGCGTTTCGAATCTCAGCCGCCTCTGCCCTCCCCTTCTCGCATCCTCGCGCAGGAATATTCCCAACAAGTACACAAGAGAGATGCTCATCAAGCAACTGTGCGTCAGCTTTAGCGGGGAGTTTGATTTCATGTACCTGCCCATCGATTTCAAAAACAAGTGCCTGGGGCTGGGGTGGATGTGGTCTGGGCATGTCGCTCGGAAGACGGACGGACGCCGTCGCTACGGGCAAAACCAGGGTGAGTGCGTAGTGGTATTGCTCGGAGACGGTCTGCGGATGGTGGGTGGAGGTATGGGGACGTGGGAAAAAAGCGACTGCACACCTCATGCCTGGCTCGTGCGGGCAACTCCATCTGCCCCAAGCGAGCCCACAGGCTGGCAAGGTGTAAGTGCTCGTTTCCTACCTGGGAAGACGTGAAGGATGTCTTGTAAGCAAGGTGTGGGGCGAGTGGCTGACCAGGCGTACTGGATGGCTAGGAAAATACGAGCTGGATGGCAGGCATGCGTGAACCAAGCGGCTCGTGCACTTCGGGACATGATTTTTTCCCTACCTAGGCTCTGCCTAGAAGGGTTCTTACTGTCTTAGCTAAAAAGGGGCCGGGCAGTGTTGCCCGCCCCGGGCGGTTCCCCCAGGATCCGCCCCGCGGTTCCCCCAGTTGCGCCCCCTTAGCTTAGCTTTGCTTATTCCCTACCTAGGCTTAGCTCAACTTAGCTTATCTCATCTTAGCTTAGCTTAGCTTAGCTTAGCTTAGCTTAGCTTAGCTTTGTCTAGCCTAGCTTAGCTTCGCTTAACTGAGCTTTAGCTTCGATTAGCTTAGCTTAGCTTAGCTTGGCTTAGCTTAGCTTAGCTTAGCCTAGCCTAGCCTAGCTTAGCCGAGCCTAGCTTAGCTTAGCTTAGCTTAGCATAGCTTAGCTTACCTTAGCATAGCTTGGCTTAGCGCAGCGCAGCATAGCGCAGCGCAGCATTATCACATCATAGTATAGCATAGCATAGCATAGCCAAGCATAGCATAGCATAGCTCAGCATAGCATAGCATAGCATAGCATAGCGCAGCATAGCATCGCATAGCATAGCATAGCATTGCTTAGCATAGCACAGCGCAGCATATCATAGCATAGCATATCATAGCACAGCACATCATAGCATAGCATAACATAGCGCTTCATAGCATAGCATAGCATAGCATAGCGCAGCACAGCATATCTTAGCACCGCATAACATAGCATAGCATAGGTGTATATGTAGATGTAGATGTAGGTGTAGGTGTAGATTTGGATGTAGGTATAGATGTAGATGTAGATGTAGATGTAGGTGTAGATGTATGTGTATCTGTGAGTCTCGCTGTTGATGTTGATGTTGATGTAGATGCAGGTGTAGATGTTCATGTAGCTGTCGGTGTAGATGTAGATGTTGCTTTCCTAGATGCTCCAACTCCTAGGTAGGGTCGCACTGGGATAATATGTTCTTCCACGCAAAGTGCTTCGTACATTCGTCTTGCCAGCATTTCAGAAGCGTCAGAGCCATTGAAATTCCGCATGATGCCTGAGAGGGCCTCATGTGCGGTCAATGCAGCTGTTCGTTTCCCACCTAAGAGTTGTCGTAACTCCCCCCGTGACGTGCTTTTGGGATGCAGTTGGGAGGCTTCCGGCTGCCCAGTCCGGCTGCCCAGTTGCGCCTCCTGTCTGAAACCAGTGTGACATGTTGTTCGATGTGGACGGCTTCTTTAAACGCGTGGGCCACATAGTATATAGGCAGGCGGGGGCCAGGAGAAGCAGGACGTGAAATAGAGAGAGAGAGAGAGAGAGAGATCATGGAAATAATAGGGCGTCATGGCAGGAGGGAGGGAGAGGTGGAAGGACGGAGGGAGGGATGGCAGGTAAATCGGAGGTGGAAGGATGATGAGGGAGGCAGGGATGAGGGGTCCAAGGGATGAGCATGGAGTATGGAGTATGGAGTATGGAATGTGGCAACTAGCTTGGAGTTCCGTGTGGGGTGCAGCGAAGCCCATACAAATTGCTGTCTCCTCCTTCTCGAGGAACGCCGTCGTTAGAGCCACCTGGTGCTCTTGCTCTCGCGCCAACATGTAAGAAGTGCTCACGCCTTGCTCGGCAGCAAACCGCCCAAACACATGTCTCACTTGTTCATCCTTCCCCCTTCCTTCGTCCCTCCTCCCCCAATTCTCTCACAGTCAAGGTGCTGAAGAGCACCACCTCGGGCTCAGGAGGTGCTCTGGTTTCCAGGCCGTTCCTTAGATCAGGCCGAGCATTGTGAAGTATGGCTTATGGGTGGATTATGTATGGATTTCTCCATCCGGGGCGTGGATTTGCGCATGGATTCCGCGGCGCGAGCCATATACTATAAACACAACAGTTGTTATGTATTCCTGTGTGGATTCTGTATGGATTTCTCTTGCTGCGAAGCCATGTAACATCACATGGCATATGGGCGCTGGAACGGGGGAAATATTCATGTTGAATCCGGACGAAATTCATGCGAGAATTCATGCGAGTGTCCATGCGAGTATGCTACGCAGGGACAGCGGCGGTCAGCAATCAGCAACGAGAAACCAGCAAAATAGATCCGTGCATCCCGTCTGCAAGATGTCCTGCCTGACTCAGATCTAGTTCGGGGAAGCTATTCGTGGCCGGGGGTCGCCGTGGCCTGAAAAGGCTTTTCAGGGCTTCAAGCCCCTCCGTTCCTTCGTTGGTGTTCCTCATGGTACCACGATGGCTGTATCTCGTCACTCTCCGTCCTCCCCCCACCGTGCACCTGGACACGCCCTACAGGCTGCTGGGCCCCCGCCTGCGCCTTCATTGCCCGGCCCAGCACCTCCGTCTCCCTCCCCCCCCTCTTTCCCCCCATTGCCCCGCGTGCTCGGCGGGCGATTCGATTCAGTTTGGCCCGCCGTTCCCCGTCCGCCCGTGACCTCCTCGTTGTCGCGGGTGTCCTCGTTGCCGCGGTTCGGCGCCCGCTCCTGAGCACGGGGGGGCCGTGTGCGACAGCATGCCGCGCGAGCCTTGGTGCAAGGCGAGGGAAGGGGGAGCGAGGACATCTGGGATCGGTGGTCGTGGTCGGAGAGTGTCGCCGCGGGCAGGTGCAACGTCGGCTACAGTTTCATCAACTTTCGGAACCAAGCGGCGTGCGAGAG